ATATTCAAATGTTGAATTTTACTTCCATTTGAGCTATAATCTCTCAGGGCTTCAAGTCAAATTGATGTCTAATGATAGACATAATATAATGACAAATGAATTGGAAGAGTATTGTCAGTGTCCACCAGTTGGAATCATATGTGTACATACGTGATGGCCAGTAATAGTTTATATCTTCCTTGCTCCCAAAAATCTCTTGCTCATTGCTGCATGCAAATGCCAATGACAAGGTCTAGAAGGATGATCATGGTAAAGACACATAATACTTAACCAAGATGTTGTAGAATTTTTTATTCTATACTCAATGTTGTTGACTATACACCAACCATTGATTGCACAATGTAAGTCTTTCTTGGTTTCAAAAATCATGTCCTCATATAACACATTTGGAATCTGCCCCTCAGATGTTATGTTTATGTCACATGTTGAGACATCATAACTGATATCCTCATTCCACTCCTCGGTCGTACGACATGCTCGAATATATTTATTGTTTGAAATCATAATATCCAATATGATGGCATTATTATAGAATGCATCCTCATCAAGTTGTGACCCATAATTTCATTTATTTCCATTGGTGCATCTACTCTAATATCAGAATCACTCTCCGTGTCATTGCTTGTGGCACTATCCATTGTCTCATATCCTTTTCTTTCATGACTAATGTGAATACTATTCAGTGCTCTATCATCAATGTGTATAGTTGGATGATGACTCAGTTCAACACTTGAGTGTCCAGCAGGACTGAGAAGTTTATAAATTTTATCTCAAGAATAATTAAAATATGCCGAATAATACACATATTTTATGAGTGGAGTGAATATAAAATACCTATATGCCTGATAATTCATCAGATATGTTGTCGAGAAGTCAACATAGCCACGAGGCGCACTTTGAGAAGTACCAACTTCAGTTGCAGGTGACAATTGGATGTTGCTTTGTGTAACACTATTGTAACTCTCAATTTTGCATAAAGTGCCAAATTTTGTTGCACGGTCGCATGTGACACATTTTGTCACATCGTCGTCCTCAATTGGGGTTGCAATAAACTCTTGACCCATAGGAAACCCACATATCAAGGATACAATGTGTTTGATGGTCACACTTCAGAGTACGAATCACTTTACGACATAGTTGCACGAAGGTTGACTACATTAGGACATGAAGATGCCGATTACCTCTGACATAATTGGGCTTGAAGTTGTCAGATGAAACTATTGACTCATGTTTTCTATTCAACATATGTATACACAACTCAGTCAATAGATTTGTCTACTTTGATAAACTATATCTTCAGTCTATGAAAGCCTTTTATCACACATAAGTATAGAGTTGGCAATGGATATTATGATTTTCAAGCATACGAGTTGGTAATAGCCAAAAAAATATATCTTGTGTTAGGAGGGACAAAATTACTCAATTATCTAAAGCATAAAAGTACGTATAAAACATTACAAATTATTTAGGGGGTAAAAAAGTATAACGAGGGTTGGGATTTTGTAATTATTTTATTTTTTAAAGGTATGTTTGAAACAGTTTTTTAAGTGTAATTAATTCAAACATATTAATTGAGGGTTATATAGATAATTCAAGTATAATTATTCTCTAAAAATTTGTAATTAAGATAACTGTTTAATGAAAAAACAAAAGTTAAGATAATTTGTAATCGTGCTAATTATTAAAACATAAGGGAAAAATTAATTATGTTCATATGATTCTACTAAATATATATATTTGCAATATGTCATTTAACTAGAGATTATTAAACTCAAAGTCTCAAGGTTTTATTCTGCTCTAATTGCATATTGTTCTTTTATGTGCTTTTTAATCATAATAATTTGTTATCATATTTATTTCAATATTTTTAAATTCCTTAAAAAATATAAAAATTTGTTTCCTTTTATCTGCCTCGTAGAAGCTTACATGGCAGAAAAAAATATAAACAACTCCTTCATAAGAAGAAATTATGTCCATTAAAATTTTGATTGGATAATCTATAAATTTTACCACAAACGATCATGCAAAATTCAAGTTTTGGTCGAGGTTTAGGTATTTATTCACTTCAAAATAATTTATTTAATTACTACTTAGTTGTGCTTAGTTAATGAATTTTTCTTCTTAAAAAAAAAAAATACATTTCACACAATTTTTTTGCACTTACATATCTTCGCCTAGATTTTGATATTTACATTCATAACACTTTCATATAATTTAGACCGGGCAAAATTTTTTTATTTTAATAAAGAATTAAATATCACATAACGTGGATTTCATTTTTAAAAAGTTACTTATAATAAAAAGTTTTTGGTGTGATGTAAAAAATTTGAGTATTATATATATCTAAATATAAAAGTTTTGGTGTTAGATAGTAAATGTAAAAGAAGTATGCAATATGTATGCAAAATGGTTAAGTTTGAAAAAATGTTTACTTTGATAAAGGTTAAATCCAATTAAACCTCTTTAAAGTGTTTGACGACAAGAGAAACAACAATTCACTTATCCTCATTTAAATCTTTTAAATCCACTTAATAATTGGATTTAATAAATCCAGCATTTACGTCAAAACAAATAAAATTTCAGATTTAGAAAACGACGGGATTTAACTTTGGCAGATTTATGTTAAATGTTAACGTAGATTCATGTACCAAACACCCCCTCAGTTAGAATTTGTAACTGGCCTCCATAAAATTTATTTCTTTTCTTGTAATTTAAAATTTTTAAATATAATATTTTATTTTTATTTTCATTTGCTTAAATTAAGGAGGAAATCTTAAATAAATCTTTTTATTTAATTTCAAGTTTTTGAAATTCTTCTTAACTAAATTTTAATGAAAGCAAAACTAAAAAAATGATAAAATTCAGAACTTTAAAAATATAAAAAAGTTGTACAGGAAATCATAAGAAAAAAAAGACTTAAAAATAACAAAAATAAATATACATAAAAAAACTCACCTCTATAAAGTAAAATTGTATGCTCCAAAGAATTCCTCTATTTTTTTTTGTAATCCTATTCCTCATCCTATCACTATTTATGGGAGTTACAAATACAAATATAATCATCTTGACAACAATCATAATAGCTAACTCACAACCAACACCTCCTAATAATCAAACTTTTCTTATTTAGCGATAATGGTATAACTGTATTCTAAAAAAATCGTGGGCATCCTAAATGGCCAAGCCAATAAGAAGGATAAATAAATTTGATGTAGTAGTTATACAGTTATTTTTTAAGAAATAAAGTAATAAAAAAAATGTAAAAATTGTTGTATGTGCGAGAAAGAGAAATAAGTATGCTTGTGTTTAATATAGTAAAAATTGGTTGCCTGAGAAGGACAAAGCAACTTGCAACAAGTCAATTTTGTCGATTATTTAATATTTTTATTTTAAAAACTTTCATTTAATTAATTTAATTACTTATCACGTTGGTTTAAAAAAAATCCTCGTGCTATGAAACCTCCCAAAGATGACTTAAAAATGCACCCCAAAAGCAGTGACTTTTTTTGAAATTCTAAAGTTCTCTCCTTGCAGCATACCACTATGTCCTACATGGTCCACAGCTCGTGCAGCCCCGACTCCGACCACTATGATCTACGGATGTTACCATAGCTCGCCATTATTGGCTACTTAGTCAACGTGGTCTACAACTTATGTAGCTCCTAACTCTGGCCTCTATGACTTACAAATGTCATCACAATTCATGACTATGACCTACGTGGTAGCTAGTGTAGCTGTTGACTTTGGTCTTTATGACCTACGGATATTATCACAACTCACCCTATGACCCACATGACCAATTACGACCTATGTGCTCCACAACTCATGCAATTCCCAATTCTAGCATCTGTAGCCTACGGATGTCATCACAGCTCACCACTAGGGTCTACTTGACTCACAACTCGACAACTCTCAACTCTGGCCACTGTGGCCTACGAACGTCCTTATAGCTCACTACTACGGACTACATGGCCAATTACAATCTACGTGGTTCATAGCTCGTGCAACTCTCGACTCCGACCCCTACGACCTATGAACGTCATCACAACTCATCACTACAACCTACATGACCAACTACGACTTATGCGGCTCACAACTTCTGTAGCTTTCTACTACGGTTTCTGTAGCAAACTGACATTCCTGAAGCAACCATCAGCGACCCACAAAGTCAACTACTTTCACGGCTGTCAACTACGACCTATACGAAAGCTGACACTACAATCGTCTACAACATTCCCTACGGACTACTACCTCCATAACAATTGACTATGACCTTTGCATCCTGCTATCACCAGGAATTATATTCATTACAGTCAAACTACGACTATTATCGATGAACTACTGGCGTACATTTACAATAATCAACTTTATAACTCCATCTTCCCTAGATCAAAAGAAGAGTGAACTTGTATACTCATTATTGATAGTTGATTGTTTCAACTGGGCCAAGCCTCATGGTTATTTACCATTTCCATGGTTTTTCATATAAAAAGTTGAGGTGTCTACTCCAACTTGCTTCTCTTTAATTATCTGAGTATGTGAGAGTTTTCATGCAAAACTAAGACCATAATTTATTAATTGACCGCTGCGAACCTTTCTACATGCATCAGTTCGAAGTTTAAACTTAGGTGGAATTCTCTTTACAACCTTCACTATGTTTCAAAATGATTATCTGGTTGCTTTACCTTGTTGTCAGTTTGAGTCAGTTTTTTGACAGCCTTGCTTCCCAGCAGGCTATTGTAGTTCTGTTTGGTATAATTTTTCCCTTGTTTTTTAGAAATTTTTGTAATGAGAAATAAATTTTAAAATCAAATTTATTGGAACAGATAACTATAAGAAAGTAGTTGCCCAACTCTTTCACAAGGGGAAAAAAAATTATATCACCTATAAGAACTATCAAATAAACTGTTAATTCTATGTTCCTTACCGAGTTGTATTTCTTTTTGTCAAAGAAGCTCTCCAGTTGCATAATCTAAGGTCATCATGCTGGTTTATTTCAGAACAACTTATATGATGCATGCTTAGCCATCTCGGAGTTACATGACTTAGCCATGAATAAGCAAATTAAACTAGAAGAACTGATGCGAAACTTGAAGCTGGCTTCCTTGCTAAAGGGACAAGTAAGTATAGATATCCTAATTTTTAATTAATTATGTTTTTTTTTATTTTATTTTATTGAAGTTGCTCTCTTACGGTTATTGTGTTTGTATTTTTTTTAGTAATCTAATATGTCTTGCTTCTTTTTTAACATCACATTGCCTCCATGTTTTCTCTTCATATCTTCTTTCATTTTTCATCCAGTTAGTATGTCGAAAAATCAAAATTTTGAACATTAATTTATACCTATTCTCCACGTGTGCTAGAAAACATCAGTCTTTTAGATAGGTTGGATTCATGTAAACCTTAGTATATGGTTGTCCTAACTTGATATTTGATTAGTTGGTTGATATTTCGCTAACTTTTTTTTTTCTTTTTTGCTAAATTAAGTTTTCTCTTTGAGTCAGGGCAACTTGGTCTAACTACAATGTTAAATTGTATGAGTCAAATTGGGCAGTGTTGCCTCGAGATAGCCCAGAGCTAACTACAACGAGTGTAATGAGTCAATAAACTATGTGTGGCATACCCATTTTGGCCCATCCCATCCTATGTTGGGTAAATATCATGTTTTTACCAATTTAGAGGTAACTTCCTATGTGGTTACATATCTCTAGAGTGTTCCATCATGAATATTCTTAAACATGAATTCTCCTCAAAGCTACACTTGTTACACCAAAGGTGCATCCCATATTTAGGTATAAATTTTTAATTATTAGCTCAATAACTTTTCCTCCCTTTATAAAATGGGCTCTTTTTTTCTTATAAATTCTTACCAAATTTTGTTCCTTGTCTAAGCTTTTGCCCCAACCATCACTTTCTGTCTTCTTTGGACTGTTCACTTCAAATTCAGGGTTTCAAAAGGCCACCATTTTTCATTTGGTTTATTCCCAAACTACACATTATACTAAAAGAGGTTTAGTTTTGATGCCTTTTGTATTGATTCAACTCACACTATATGAGGTATTGTTCGTTTTGACCCAAGTTTTCTTACACTAGCTGTAACTTTCTTGGAGATTACCCATCCTATGAATGATCTATCATGAGCATGCAAATGTGAAGTTCTCAACAATGCTTCACCCGTTACACCGAAATGCACCCTGCATATTTTGATTGAACTCTTTACTTAGATCGCTCAATTATTATTACTCCATTTTCAATGTGGCATTTAATGCAATCTTATATTCCAATTATCCTAGAAGTCTGCCTTCTTAGAAACCTGCTAGGATTTTCTCTTTATTCAGGCTTCAATTTTGCAGATCTCACCTCAGCCCATTAAGATTGTCCTCCTCAAATTTAAGGTGTTCAAGAGGAGCGTACAGTCAAACATGATTTGGCTAATTGGATGATTTTATAGAAATTTGATAGCTTGTTTCAATCAAGCTTGATGGGTTGTCATACTCATGCCACTTGTGATACCTAATTTTTCACACAACTCAGAAGTGTACGTGTGGCTTTAAACTGATAAGATCATAGCCCCCTACTTTAAAAGGTATTCGTCTAAATTTCCCGACTAAGATGATCAGTTTCATCGCCTCAGCCAAAAGCCAACTTTTGGCCAATTGCCACCCTTTTTGAGAAGTTGTCATCCAATTGCCTTCTTCAGTCACCGATCAAGAAGTCGCCACCAATTGCTTCCTGGCCAACGTCCTTAACACTTGGTACTTTCTGATTACCTTCAATTAGGAACTATAGCCTTTTATCTTATTGCATTATGCCCAAATATTGCTCTCTTCGATTAGAAACCTTTCGGTCTTTACCTTTTGTATCTCCGCTTGGAGTCTTTTCTATTCATTGAGATACAAGAAAATTTCTTGCATCCTTGCTTATGATGAACAATATTATTTCTTCAACTGACCATTCTTATGTCAAACCCGATTTGATCAGCTTTGATGTGGCCAAGTAATCGTTAATTGAATTACTTATTTATTTATTTATTTATTTATTTAATTTTTTATCGTCGTTTACCATGAGTTCAGACGCTTATGTTAAGGGATGATCAATGTGTGATTCCAAGGTCTCCATGCTGTGCTTACTAGCCTACTCTGGGAACTTTAATGCTTGTCGACTAGCACTCAATATCTTGCCCAATAGAGCGTTTTTTTAGTCGGCCTCAAAATGGGCTTTTGACAAAATCCCTCTGAAAATTGTACAGGTTCATGTGAAGACATGCCTTATTAATAATGCTTGATGACTCGACTCAGTTTGTTCGATCTAAAATACATCTATTTGACCATAAACATCGTATAATTCTTTGAAAACCTAGAGCATAGAACATGTTTTTTCATAGGCATAAGGAGCCACGATGTAGAAATGATGAAAATGATTGTTTATCATTGTTAGGTATTTATATGCCACATCCCTTCTTCCTCTCTTTTTATTGGCCAATCAGAGATCAATCTCCTCACTCTATACCCTACTTCATCTAGCACTATATAAAGGGATCTCATTCACGATATTGTTGAAATTGAACCCTTGTATCCAAAAGAGGAGCCATCCTTCCCTTCCTCCCTCTTCTTTAGTCCCTCTCGTGTTGTTTTGTTTCCACAAAGAAAGGTGAATATTCTCTATATGATGTACATTTTGTATTGATGAAAATAAACTCAAGCACATACACAACTAAACACATAAATTCACCATTTTTCATATCATATTCATTAAAACTTCACAAAAATGTATACCTCTACTACTTTTCTTAGGACTAATAAGCTAATGGGATATTATTCTCTGCGCTTGTTATATGGGTATATAGGTAGCTCGTTCCTTTGGTATCTGGCAAATTAACCTGCAGTTTACACCTGTCCTATTTGCCAACAAATTATGGTTGTTAGTTATTATCCCTGTTATTATCCCTAGCAGAGCAGCCCCCCCACTTTAAAAAGTATTCGTCTAGATCAATTTAGAATAGCCCTTCGAACAAGCCTCTGACCAATAAGTCCTGACAATTTGGATGCTTTGCTATGTAATGAGGAGACAAAGCTGCTAGAACTGCCCAACTTTCCAACATATCAGATCCCACGCTTCCCTTAAATGCTGTTCGCGATTGATCAAGAGGTTGTTGACCCTTTTTACTTCTAGCAGAGGAGGTCGCACAACTCCAAAGTCCGCTGTAGAATGTCAAATATGTGGCAAATTCGGACACTCCGCGGTTTATTGTTGGCATCGAGGTAATTTTCAATACACTTCACCTACTCAATCACCTTAGGCACTATTTTAATGGATCTAAACAACAAAACGCCTATTGGTTACTTGATTTCGGAACTACAACGCACATAACTTCCGATTGTACTCAAATATCCAACAGTCAACCATATTATGGATCATATCAGGTTTTGCTTGGAAATGGTCAAGCGGTTCCCATAAGTAACACGGACAAAGGCATTCTATCAACTCCAACCCGTAAGCTCTATCTCTCTCAAATCTATCATGCTCCAAAATTATCTCATAAATTACTTTTGGTTCATCAAATAACTCGTGATAATCAATATTCTATCTTATTTGATGCTCATGGTTTTCAAATTAAGGATCTGAAGACCAACTCTATGATACTTCAAGGTCGTAGAAGTAAAGGCCTCTTCTCCATTATCTTGCCATCCTCAACTCATTCTGCTATGATTGCCGCCACCTCCTTGTCCATCAATCGGCATCGTCGTCTCGACCATCCGTCGACATGACTCTACTCCAACTTTTGTCGTTTCTTCCTAAAGTTCCAAATTTTTTTGTTGTTTCTCCATGTAATTCGTGTTTAGGAGCTAAGAGTCATCGTTTATCTTTTTCTTTGTCCACTAATTGTTGTTCTACTACGTTGGATCTTATAGATTCTGATGTATGGGGTCTGTCCCCCGTTATTTCAAATCAAATTTTTAAATATTATGCTTTGTTTATTGATGATATGTCTCATTTTTGTTGGGTTTATCCAATGAGATATAAATTTTATGCACCTTCTTGTTTTCTTAAGTTTAAAACACTTGTCAAAAAGCAACTCAACAATCACATCAAAGTTTTACGCTCCGATGGGAGAGGTGAATATTATAACACTGTATTTCTAGATATTCTTTCTCAATATAATATTATTCATCAATATTCATGTCCATATACACCCGAATAAAATGGTGTGGCGGAACAAAAATACTGACATATTCTAAAAACCATGTGCGTCTTATTTCTTGATACAAATATATCTCAAAATCTTTGGGCAGACACTCTTCTTACAACTGCCTATTTAATTAACCGTCTCCCGTCTCCTACCACTAATAATATCTCTCCCTATTTTCTTCTCCATAAGAAAAATTCCAACTACAAGTTCTTTAGAACCTTTGGATCTTTGTGCTATCCATGATTGCAACCACAATCCTCCAACAAGTTTGTCTCGTTAACTCTATGTGTTTTTCTTAGATATTCTCCAAACTTTAAATGCTACAAGTGTTATAATCCTACCACTGGTAAAATCACTATATCTCATCATGTTATATTTTACGAGAATGTGTTTCCATTTCAAACTAGCTTTCACTCTTTGAATTCTCCAGCCCTACATGCTCCACCATCTCAACCTCTCCTTCTTGCTCCCTCATCCACCAATTCAAAATCTGCTCCTATCGTCTCTCCAAATCAACCAACTATCGCCCCAAATCAACATCCTCCACCTTCTCAATTGTGCCAACTCCACCTGATGTCCTTCCAAACTCGCTAGCTTCAAGTTTGCCAATTTCCAATCTGCTAGATCCAAACTCGGCTGCTCCAAATAAGCATGTTTAACATATCCCTACAGCCGAACCACCTCACGCTCTAATTTTGTCCACCCCTTCTCATCCCATGGTCACTCATGCCAAAACAGGGAACCCTAAACCGAAGCATATTTTTGATTTACAACACAAAATTATTACAAAATCAGATCCTACATGTTATACAAGTGCGACCACAGACCATAATTGGACACTTGAAATGTCTTAAGCATTCCAAGCCTTTCAAACAGAAGGCACTTGGATATTAGTGCCTCTACCTACAAACCAAACGGTACTCGACTTCA